GAGGAGAAATCGCGGCTCCTGGAGAAGGAAAATCGGGAATTGGAGAAAATCATCGCCGAGGTGGGGCCGGGAATTAATTAGTAATGGGAGTTAATTAGTAATGGGAATTGTTAATGGGAGTTGTTAATGGGAATTGTTAATGGGAATTATTAACGGGAATTATTAATGGGAATTGTTAATGGGAATTCTGGGAATTATTAATGGGAATTGTTAGTGGGAATTGTTAATGGGAATTGTTAATGGGAATTGTTAATGGGAATTAGTAATGGGAATTGTTAATGGGAATTCTTAATAGGAATTATTAATGGGAATTGTTAATGGGAATTGTTAATGGGAATTAGTAATGGGAATTAGTAATGGGAATTATTATTGGGAATTCTGGGAATTATTGTGGGAATTATTATTGGGAATTATTCTGGGAATTAATCTGGGAATTATTATTGGGAATTGTGGGAATTATTGGGAATTGTGGGAATTATTTTGGGAATTATTATTGGGAATTGTAGGAATTGTGGGAATTATTGGGAATTATTGTGGGAATTATTCTGGGGAATTATTCTGGGGAATTTCCCTTTTCCCGTGGTTTTTCCCCACTGTTTTCCCCCTTTTTTCCTGAGTTTTCCCCCATTTTTCCCATAATTCCCAGCATTTTTCCCCCTTTTCTCTCCCAATTTTTCCCTGCTCTTCCCTCCCATTTTTCCCCACTTTTCTCTCCCCTTTTTCCCCATTTCCTCTCCCATTTTTCCCCATAATTCCCCCATTTTTCCCACTGTATTTCCATTTTTTCCCCCATTTTCTTTCCCATTTTCCCCCATTTTCTCTCCCATTTTTTCCCATCATTTCCCCCATTTTTCCCACTTTCCTCTCCCAATTTTTCCCCACTTTTCTCTCCCCCTTTTTCCTATTTTCTCTCCCATTTTTCCCCATAATTCCCCCATTTTTCCCACTTTATTTCCATTTTTTCCCCCATTTTCTCTCCCATTCTCCCCCACTTTTCTCCTGCATTTTTCCCACTTTTCTCTCCC